AAGGTATTATAAGAGAATGATTGTTTTATTAGATTTAATTATTGTATAGGTTAATTAGTGAATTGAATTATATTAATGAATGCATGTTGATTTTTTTTTATAGATATTATATGATTGGTGTGATGAGAGATTAATATAAATGAAGTAGAATTAGAAATTGTATATGAGTTAGAGATTAGATATTAAATGAGATAGAGATTAGTATATGTAATTAGTTAAGATTAAGAGATATGAAGATGAGTAGATATTAATATGTTATATCTATAGAGAGATTAGATATGAAGATGAGTAGGATTTAGATATAAATGATAGAAGATTAGAGTATAGATTATTATAGATGTAGAGTATAAATGAATAGAAATTAAGTATGAAATGATAGAGATAAGATATGAAATTGGATTAAATTAGATAGTAGATGTAGTTAAGATTATGATATGTTAATATTTCTCTATCTATCTTTCCTGTAATAGAATAGTTGAGTGATGAGTGAAAGTTGTGGATTTTTTGATGGATGTAGGTAGAGGAAGAAGTAAATATTAGAGAGAATTTTAGTTGTAAGGGTGTTATTTTTATTATATAGGTTAATGAATGAAGGGGGAGGTTGTATGGGGTTTATAATATTTGATGTGTTGGGAGATGGGTAGGATGTTTTATATGATGTGTGTGTTGGTTTATTGTGTGAATGATTATTTGGGAGTATGGTTGATTGGTTATGGTTGTTATTGTGGTGTATTGGAGAGAGAAATGAATTGATAATGAGGGAGGGGTTAAGGAGTGGGAGTGAGGGGTTATTAGTGTTTGAATAAGATTGTATTTAGTGGTTGTTATTATATAGTTGGTTTGGGTGGGTAGGATGTGTGAGATTTGGGTTTTGAAGTGAAGGTATTATAAAAGATGAATTAACTCTATGTGTGTGGTGAGGAGAAGTTGATATTTTAGGTGTTAGGTATATTTTTTATTTTTTGTTTTGTTTGTAAGGAGGTGAGAGTTGGGTTGGGGGTGGATGATAGGGAAGATGGGAGTTTGTATATTATTAATTGGGAATTATATATCTCTATATCTATATATATATATATATATATCTATATTATATCTCTCTATCTCTTTTTATGGGATTATGGAAGAAGGGGATATTGATTGTAAGTAATGAATTTGTCGGTTTTGGGAGAATGTTGTTTGTTTATATAGTGAGAGGTTTATAAATGGGAAAAATAGAGAATGTGTTTTGAGAGGATAGGTTTTTTATGAGGTAATTTTGGTATAAGAAGGGTAATTGTTATGGGGGTTTGTTTTGGGTTGAAATTATATTTGGATTAGAATGTGTATTTGGAGATTTTATGATTTATTTGTTTTTTTAATTTTTGATGAGGGTGGGTGAAAAGAGATGGAGTATGAGGTGTGAGTGTAGTTGTGGAGTAAGATGATAGGAGGAAAAGAGAGAAGAGGTAGGGGAGTAATTTAGTAAATTTGTATTGGATAAATTATAATTTAATTTAATTAAAAAAAAAATAAAAAAAGGGGGGAGAGAA